CCTTCAGTTAGCCTATTAATACAGATGCAATTGGAAATCAATTCATATGGACAACTTACCGGCATAATCCTTATTTGATTTCATAATTTAAACCAAAACTAATACCAATATTAACATTTCTACAATATTCATTACTTTAATATTTCTAAACACAAAATACTTACTACCTATACGTTAAGTTATGAACCAACGGCTATTAACACGCATCGTTTTATTATTATTATTGTAATCCCGTTTTTTATAGCTCAAATAATCTTCACCCAAATAGTCATTTCAAGCGTTTTAAGCATGAAAGCAGATATTTTAAAATTATTACATGTATTTCCCGACCAGATGCTGCCGCTTTCTTTTTGATTTATCTTTCAGCTTACCAATACCCGGAGGATTCTTATTATCCTTAGTAACCTCCGGCACACGACGATCCCATCCAATTTGGTATCGAACCAACATCACGTTGATTCTGGTGGGAGAGTAGTGTAATGGCATTGGACAATAGCCACACAATCCACAAAGCTGTGAATACGAGACTACTCAGAAAATAGATATTCAATATTTAACGCAGAGAAATACCTAACAATGGAGAAGGCGCGAACAATGAATTGAATGGGCTGGAGTTGATCGAGTGGCATGGCTCGGCCATGCAGGCGTGGTCTCTGCTGAATGTTACCTTATATCTTCTATTCATATTAAATATATTGTTGTTTCTCTAGCCTAACCTTGTTCTACATCATGTATTGGTAATTGATACGATACAGTGAGTTGGTGTAGTCGATGGTGTGACTTCCACGTGAGATCTTATAGATTAGGCAGTTATATCACGACAAATCTACAAATTTAGGATTAGGTCTATTATTAGAGCAGTACTAATATCATAGTAGACCATAATTCTACATCTTATCTACTTCCAGCGCTTATCCTGATTTCTTCCTCCGCTGGGATCTGGTTTGTTCTCTCCCATAGTAGGTTGTTGCCGATAGTGTCCGGCCAACGTGTCCGAAGTATTTTCGTAGACAACTGTTAACAAACACTTGTATCTTCTGGATGATGGCTTTTGTAGTTCTCCAGGTTTCCACTCAATACAGTAGGACTGTTTTGACATTTGTAATGAAAATCCTGACCTTGGTGTTGGTTGAAAATTGTTTTGAGTTCCAGATGTTCTTCAGTTGTAAATATGCTGCTCTTGCTTCGCCGATCCGCGCCTCCACATCTGCACCAGATCCACCATGTTCATCAGTGATGCTGCTTAAATATGTGAAGGTGTTTACGTCTTGCAAATCTTCTCCGCCAATTGTGACCGGATTGGTGCATGCTGTGTTGTATCGGAGAATCTTGCTTTACCCTTTGTGTATAATGAAACCTACTGCTGCTGAGGCTGCTGCTACACTGGTCGTCTTCTCCTGCATTTGTTGTTGCGTGTGGGATGGACGAGCGAGATCATCTGCGAAGTCTAGATCGTCCAACTGCATCCTAGCTGTCTACTGTATCCCATGCTTGCCTTCAGATGGCGACGTCCTCATGATCCAGTTGGTCACCAGGAGAAAGAGATAGGGTGAGAGTAAGCAACTTTGCCTGACACTGTTCTTTACTTCGAACGAGTTTGTCAACTGTCCTCCATGCACGATTTTGCATTTTCATCCATCATAGGAATTCTGTATTATATTGACTATCTTCTGAGGCACACCGAAGTGTCGAAGAAGCTTCCATAGTGTTGTTCTGTCCACGCTAACAAATGCTTTTTAGTAGTCAATAAAGTTGGTGTGTAGTGATGCATTTCATTCAACTGATTGTTCTACAATGATTCGTAGTGTTGCGATTTGGTTTGTACACGGTCTTTCCTTACGTAATCCAGCCTGTTGGTCTCGAAGTTGGGTGTCTGTGGAGTCGTTCATTTTGTTTAACAATACCCTGTTGAAGACTTTTCCTGGTATTGAGAGGAGAGTGATGCATCTTTAGTTATCACACATGCTGAGATCGCCTTTTTTGGTACTTTAAACAGAAGTCCAGTGCTTCTTGAGTTTCGGTTTCATCTTGGCGACCAGCAAATTATGGTCTGATGCTATATCAGCTCCTCTCTTGGTTCTCACGTCCTCCATCGTCCTCCTGAACTTTTTGTTGATGCAGATATGGTCGATTTGGTTTCGCGTATTATGGTCCGGTGAAGTCCATGTGGTTTTGTGAATGCGTTTACGTGGGAATATAGTGCCGCCTATGACCAGTTTATTGGAGACACATAGGTTTGGAAATCTCTCACCATTCTCGCTCCTTTCTCCCAGTCCATGTCCTCCCATGATATTTTCATGTCTGGTGTTGTCCATTCCAACCTTGGCATTTAAATCTCCCATCAGAATGGTCAGGTCCTTCGTTGGGCACTTCTCGACAATTCACTGCAGCCTGTCGTAGAATTGATCTTTAACGTCTTCATTGTGGTCGTTGGTAGACGCATAGCATTGGATGATGTTCATTGTAATGCTCTCTTTCTTTGTTTTGCAGTTTTGTTGGGGGTTCAAGTTATATTGTTTGGTCTACTGATGATGCTGAATGTATAGTTTTTTGTATATTGACGTTTGATCGGGCTCAAGCGAACACATCGTTGTTGATAACGATCAGATGAAACACTAGAGCTGCATGGTCACCATTACCTAGGGGTGGCATATAGTCAACGTTTGTGATGTCATCCTCAGGATGTGTTAACCTGAGATCTAGTAAGAATGGTCCAGTATTCAAGTCGCACATAATTTCTTCCTTCACACGTCGCGGGATAACCGCATCAACCAGTTTTGTTCGATAAAAAGTACGCCAACTCAGTCTACAGGCGTTTCCGGTCTACCTTAAGTCTCTTAAAGCCTTCTAAAATTAAAAATGTCGACCACTTGATGACCAAGTTTTGAAACCGTCCAACAAGATGTCATTTATATTAAAGTCTGAACTGCGATAAATAAAACCAGTCAGAAGCTCTAGTCTATTGTATTTCGGGCGGAAACTAACTAATTCACATGTCATTATATATGTCGTTAATAGCCGTAAAATTGATAGTGTTCTTAATAAGTTGAGCTACTCCTCCTCACTTGCACTTCTTGGCTCTGTAGGCTCTTACCTATTTGAAACTTTAAAAATCAAGTTCCCTACTTTCTGCAGACTGCATCAGCCAAATTTCTGTGGCTGTGATTATATCTGCCTTGGTACAGTCTGCCTGGGCACGTAATTACAATCGCTTGTTCAGCAAGTCCAGGAATTCGTGTAACATATCCGAAGACCATTTAAATGGCTCCAGAATCATTCTCCATTAAAGCTCAACCTCACGAAAATTTACAGTATTAGGGTTATTCTTGCCAGCATCTACCCATAGTTGTAGTTACTTTTCAGCTTCTCGCCTTTTTTAAATCGTCCGCGAGCGGCAATATTCTACGAACAAAATTCGTGTCCCTTTAGTTCATATTCGATTTCATTCCTAATTTCCTTTCATTGGAAGGTTTAAATACCACTTTGACAGCCTGGTTTGACTTCTTCCAAGTTTTTTTGGCTACCGAGTCCATAAACATTTGGACAGGTGACTCCAGAGATATATTATAGCGTTAGCTGATTGAGTAGATCTTTTATCAAAGCAAAAAAGTGGGTTCTGAACTTTCTTAACTCTCTTAACAGACCTTTTTGAAGTCAATCCTACTTCCTTTAGTTCATGTCAGTTGATCGACTTCGAGTTTAATCGAGATGTTTTCATATCGATTTTTTTCACCGAATATGCGAATATCATTTTATCTATAGCGTGGTGTCGAGTTGAGATTAACTATGAACACCGCTACCAAGAAACACGTGCCAAGCGAATCAGAAGGCGAAGGTTGGACGTAACCAAAGAAACCCATAAAATCTCCGAGAAGCCAAATATCAGAAGACAGTTAATGGACCAAGTCCATGTTTATTTGCTGGCGATCTCGTGGCATCGAAAGGATACCGAGATCGTGCCAGGATACAAGCTTGGTTACAGAACGTAACCGAATCCTCGCGAAGTTACAATCGAAGTGTAAGTATAAGAATGGAAGTACAATAAAGCTGTCATTAGCACAGTCAAACAAAAGCACATTAAAACAGTCACTGGTACACTTGGTTATAATAATAAGCGTTTTTATTAAACCAGTCGTGTTCTCGTGATAAATGTGAGTCACTACAAATCTATATATGCCTTTGAGCAAACTGTTTGAGACAGCATTGGCGATAAGACCGCACATGTGTATTTTAAATAATTCGCTTGAAAGCCTATGGTATTTCGAATTATTTGAATTATTGTACTAACTAAGAATCCAAGAAATAACGCAGCTGAATCAAGAAGTACTAGATGAGCACAAACGAATGTATTGTATTTAGAATTCAAAATCGAGCATTCAAGAAGTACAAAAGAATCATTATTTAATTCAAACACCACAAAGTCTCAGGTGTTAAATTCGTTCAAGCTTCGTAGTACCATCCTTCGCTCTAATCTCACTTCATACCAAATACCACCGTTCGTTTTGTGCCTTATTCTGTTTGATTCAGATAATCACTTACATATATTGGAGATGAAAAACACAAGGGAGGATATTAGCAAGACGAGGAATACAAGAGAATGACGAAAAGAGCGTATGAGAACTTTCGGCTAGAACTGAATTTATGAGCTAACCAATCAGATTTAAGATAACATGTCTCGAATTTTGGCGCGAAATTAGTTTGTTCATTTAGCAAAATAGAGTTTTGTGATTGCAGCTGATGTCAGCTCGTGATGAAAACCCTAAATTTAATTCCTAACCCTAGCAATCAATTACAAATATTAATCCTAATTCCTTCCACTGGTTTATAATCCTCATATGTACTTGTTGGTAGATTAATATTCTCTAAGTCTTTTTGGCATTGCTCAAAGGTTTTCCATTAATTATAGACTCACCAAATACTTTCGTTCTTTCTAAAGTAATATTTCTACAATAAAAAAGGAAAATACCCTTGAAATAGTGAACGATCTCATTTTCAGATTACCTTGTCAAAGTAATACCCGCAACATTCAAAAATTTTAAGGAATGGGGATTTTCGACATAGTCCAAGATGAGGTATGGATTGTGCTTATCTCTCATCTGATAATAAAGGTCCCTGTACGAAATACGCAGCAAAGCTCAATTATAATCGTACCCGATCCAGGTTTGATAACCTTCACTCGGTAGTAATGATCACAGGGTTTTGTGTAAAGCTAAAGTCTAAAAATCAGGAAAAAGTGTTTGTGAACATATGTACCTCTGATAAAGTAAATGGGTACCCCTTTTGAAGATCTTTATAGGTCCCAGTTCCGAAGGATCTAAGTGAAGAGGAATTAAGATCAATCCTTAATGATATTGACAATTCCCCACCCTTCAAAGTCCCAATGTGCATAGGAGAACCTCACGCTGAGACTGACTCAGGTACTATTTTCATACCTTGGTTCCTTCAAATCCCTTTTGCTTTCTATCTATAGGATTATTCATCCAGACGAGATCCTAATATTCGATCCCAAGAAATTCTGCGTTCATTATTACCGAACAGATCGCTTCATACTTTTGCATTCAGTGTTACTAAAAGTTAATGGCATAATAGAATTTTCGGAATTTAAAGGTTTTACCACGACGATTTTGATGTTGCAAACTCAGGTATCGCCTGGACACCACCGAAGTTAGTATGACACGTATTCCGTTTCTCAGTGAGAACAAAATATCTAGTTCATCCGCAATATCCACTGGTTAATATTACTATTTAAATCGATTCAGTGTATTCATGCTTAGAAACACTGATGAATAGTGCACTATTAGGGGGTATTTATCGGTTCACAGTTATTTGGGTAATCTGGACCACCTTATAAACGGTTCCTGAAATTCAAATCCTGTGGCAGACATACTGTTCCGGTTATTTTTGTTACGATTGCTTTGATCTACTCACTAAGCAAAGTTTACCAGCCGATGCCCAATATCGTAATTGTTGGCCTCATTTCAGTCCTGAATAATACATGTTAGTCATTGATTATCAACTATTTCCGAGCTTGTAATTCTAGTTAAAAGCGAAGCTTTTCAAGACAGCACAAAGGATTGCCGATATAGTTACTTGGGTATCATCCAATCCCTTAATTTACACGAATTGTATAAATAAAAACAAATTTTGAACTGCTTGTTCCCCTATGCGGTACTACTTCAAAGTAAGAAAACTTAGGCCCTTATATATTCGTTCTAAGTCCTGAATTGTTTATGAATGACTAATATACATTTTGTCTATCACAGATTTTGATTCAATTTTTACTTCTGTCGTGTAAGGATGTTTAAGTGCACGAAACTCAACCACCAAACCAAGATTGCGACAAGGTGAAGGTTCCGTGTTAACTGTATGTTTCGTGAATAAATGCCTTTGGTGTAACGATTCTGGAAAAAATGTATAACATTTAAACCTCCGAAACAGTCGTGATACTAATAAGGTCTAAATACATGGTCTAAACCAATATCGAACTCCTAGAACATATTGGGGATTTCTGACTCACCTGCTTCCGAACCACATAGTATGTTTACTCATTCTAGGCCGGAAAAACATCGTGCGAGCGGGTCTTTTTCCAAACACTAGAACTAGAATTAATGCTTACATTATATTGACAACGTTTCAATCTTCCTGGGTTATATTGATCCACTAGTATCACAAAATATTTTTTTTTGTCCAAACACCTTACCCAAGGTTTAGGCGTTACATACATTAGACCGTCATTGGGCTAACGATCTAAATTTTGATGACTGGTTTGATCACTTACGGAATGTGTTGGTTATCGTGAATCAACTGTTTGTTTCGCTCATAATATCAATCTAATCTACTACACAATGACTTACTATCTGATCACAAACTTTCTTACTGATTGGTTGCTTCTCAATGTTTTGGTACCTATATTCTTGTTATCCGCATTCAACTTTTGTTTCTCAATCATAGAGAAAGTAAAATCACTTTGTGTTCTACATATGCCGGGATAGTCCTGGACAAGCACTCAAAATGCTGTCAGTTTCTGTAGGAAAGTTTGAGGCGTTATAATCTCAGGAAAACACAAAAAATGTGTACTAGAAGTGTCAATTCACTTTTCAACCTTTCTCATCGTCATAATGAACCAGAAGCATTCTGAATTATCAAAACAAAAGAATTGGTGACTTTCGAATAGTGTTACATATCGATAGATCATGCGTTCGATATTTCCTAACCACATTCTTTTGTATTGTCATTGATATGGAGCTCAGTGACTGTGGACATCATCGTTCTCGTTTAACGTAGTTTTATTTGATTGTTTCCAGTCAGTCAGTAACACCAATTAGATAAATTTATAAAGAATAAAAATAAGTGGTCAGGTTTGAAACCATAAATATATCCACTTGGCCACATCGTATCATTTACTATCCCTAATCAATCACCATTTATTCACTGAAAGTGTGTTAATAAATTACCAAAATCATACTTCATAAAAGTTATGGAAGTAATCATCTACTTGTGTTTTTAATTGATTGGTTTAGTTGAAAATGTATGAAGTAGCTGAAAGTATACAAATGATATCATATTGAGTAGGGGTGCAGATGAAGTACATAATATTAATAATGCCTTTTAACAAATCTTAGGATATCTATAAAGCGTTTTAAATCTACGAAATGTAAAATGACATCTTAAATATATGTTGTCTCTAGTGTGAACCTGGATATTAAGTGTAAAACACTTCAAGTAGTTTATTGTTTAGTGTAGCCTCAATAACAGTCACAAATTGATAAATAATAGAATTCTCGTAGACACATAGATAGATCATAAACAATCAAAGTCTCATTAAATTTTCTATACGTTGTCGATGAGTACTAATGAAAACAAAATTCACAAATTGAACCGTCTGTTGCCTATTAATAAGAAATTAATGCTGTGATCAACACCAATGCATGTACTGATGAAACTACTTCCATAAGTAGATATCGTTTTTAAAAACCTTTGTAATTTCATACTTTATTCCTTTAATTTTAAGCTCAGAAAGGCTGTACCGCTTATGATGTAATAATCAACCCACAATTCTACCAAAAAGTCAAATCATCAGAGTTGTTTGAGGCATTTTTGATGACAGTGATATTCGAAGGCTTGGAAAATAAGTATGGCATCGAACTTGAAAGAAGTAAGCATCCAGTTTGTATTCATTATTTTCTAATTTAATCTTACAGGTTGGATTGTTTTAAAGAATAAGAAATGTATGGGTAAACCACAAGAACAATGTATTCGAACTTCTAGTCGTCCCGCGATTATTGAAATGAATGATTCTCAGTAAGAGTTAGTATATATGTATAATCTTCTTATTTGCAAATATTTTAGACCACCCAAACCAAAAGTGATAGAGTTACCTGATCCACCTTTTAAAGGTGATACTCCCAAGTATGAAATATTAAAGGTTAAGGATGATGTTAGTGGAGAAGTGCGTTGCTTAATTGCACGAATAATCATGCCAAAGCTGGTAGGTCTATCTTTGTAATATAGACATCCCAAAGTGCAAAATGTTAGTTTTCTTTGATCACTGGTTTATTACATAATTATTCAAATTAATATACATTCGCATAAATTGTAATCTCCCACGATTACATGATAATTTTTTTGAGAATATAGCTGAACTGTTTTTTAAGAATTCAGTGTATCTTTGAATTGATCGTAATGACTTCTTCAAATGCTTTTTTATTTTCCGTGTGCTCTACACGTTGTTTTTTAGGATTTCACACGAAGATAGTGTTAGCAAATACTGATGTAAACTTTCTATTCTTAAATACCATACTTCCACTCCAATTGTATACACATAACAATTTATAAATGGGTATAAAAGTGAAGGACAGAATTTCTAGTGTACGTCTTTTTTCTAATGAATATTTTCATGAAGAAGATTTGAAATTGAACTGTCTAACATTGAAAAACCTGTTGTCCTTGTTTCTGTCCTAGAGTTACTTTGTTGATATTCACGGAATCATTTAAATTTTACATAAAGACGAAATATCACAAATGTACTATTTGGTATTAATAAACTAATTACTCGAATGAACGATATGATCTTATGATGTTTTGTTGGCTGTAGGTCATTATCAAGTTTACAAACGAAACTTGGTCCGATCACACTAGACAAATATATTGCAGATACTCAGGTTATCGAATTCGTAAAGATAAAAATATTTTGACAAAAGGAAGGAAGAGAGGGAATGGTATACAATAGTGCAATTCATCAAGTGTTCTGAGTAAAATAATCAATTTTCAAGGTAATATATCTCTAACAGCAAGTCAATCTGTGCAAATAAAAAGTTATACAGAATGTTTCCCAGTAGAAACATCCCTCATTCTGTATATCACGCGTTTAGTAGTGCATTATGGCGTACTATATATATATAATATATATATATATATATATATATCCTCAATGTAATTATCTTCTCGATAGTAAACATGAGATTTGATTCAGTTCTCACTGTAGTTTACCGCATACTAAATAACCGGTTTCTAAATATCATGAAAATAGTTCCAATATTATAGCGAAAAAGTACACACTTAAAAGAGGTGATTATGAGTTGCAGGTTTCCTCTATCTTAAAATTTATATCGTGTCACGTAGAATTTCGCATAATTCCACCTTTCTTGCGATATCGTTAATTTTCTACTTGTTTATTTTTGTCCTGTGTATTACTCACCGTTGATCCTAGTTCTTTTTATGTTATGCTGTAATAAACTACTAATTTCATTTGAGTACTATATTTTGTCCACTATTTCATTATGATGGTAACAAATGTGAGTAAAAGGGTATTCATTTACTTGAGACCTAAAACATAATATTTTATAATCAATAGCGTAATTAAAATATAATGTCACCTTTACATTCTCGGAATCCAGTTGAGAAAATGCTTCCAAGTGACAAGTTAAAAAATTTTGTTTCACTGACTTTTATATTTAATTATCATCTCTCAAAACGAGATATGAGGTTTTAAACTGAATTTTTTAGCGCTAGTATTTAATGTCATGTTAATCTGGCGACAAACGAAATCTAACATATTCTAGCTTAATAATAGATCAGTGTTTTAAGCTCATTTTAAGCTGTTGTATCACTCGTTAAGACCCATTTTCACTTCAGTCTAGACAACAAATATAACTCTGGCTTCCCAGTAGTTATGACTCAAGAGTCAGTACAATAATATTTACTTAGTTAATGGATTTAATAGTTCATAAGATAATATATGTCCAAATGCTTCTTGTAACAAGCTTGTTTCGTATGAAATAACTCACTATGCCCGGTAAATAATTGTCAGGGTGTTTAGAAATATTTGATACTCAGGATTCCAACTTGCACTTGTGTAAATGATTGTTTGTACTCCAAGTATGGGAAATTCTCTCATGCTAGAACAATAAAAGTCAATTATCTAAATGATCAAAGTATTTACTAACCAATTCTAGGAAGGTGAATCCATATAAATTGACTTTGATAGCGTTTAGCACGATACCAAGTGACTGTATACACCAATATCAACTGATATTTTACACCTTTTATCTATATTTCAACTGCATAAATATAGTTCAAACGTCTTTAGGTAATATTTTACTTTAGAATCAGGATAGATATTATGCCACTGTCTTTGTATTTAATGACATCAAATCTTTCACATTATTCACAAAAACAAGTATTGTTTATCGTAAACCTTCTACATAAAACCAATGTGCACATTTTTGAGCTTTATCTCATTACAATATAGGGGAAACTTGGCCAAACACAGCCAACAGATCCAAAATTATTTGTTGTGGTGACTTTCCAAAAGAGAAATTAATTCTTATTCATGATTCACCCAGTAGACATGGGTCCCCGTCAAATTTCCTAACAAGGGATAAAAAACAATTAGGTCTATTTTGGCACACCCTCTTAATACTGGTCACTATGTCGATATAAATTCAGCGTTTAAAGTTATCTATAGAATCTCATTGAACTTACTCTCTATGCCTTCAGAATTTGACTCCTACGTACAACAGACGCCGTAGGAATGTATATCAATATACCTGATTTCTGTATACAGCCTTTTAATCTCCCTTGTCCTACTTATTACCTTTCCACAAATTTTCTAAATTTTACGATTTTGTTATATCTTAATCTTATACAATGTGTCTAATAATCTGATCATCTAATTTTCATTACACTCGTTTTACTATTTATTTATTAATAATCTGACAGATAACACAAAACGCATATTTAATTTCAATTCCTATTCTTGATCTTAAGCAACTAGTCATGGTAACCAGCTTTTTATAAAGTTTCATTTTAGTTTTAATTTCACAGACATAGTCTTAATAACTGATTACTCTATTATTAGATTGACTTACTACCACTTGTATTTGTTTTACATTTATTTACAAATTCTATATGATTGTGCAGAGCAACTAATTAGAAATGAATATTTATTCGTTCATCTTAATGTGAATATTTAATGGAAAGGACTCCAAAATACTATAGATCACTGAAAATATCTAAAAGTGAAACACTAGTTGCTCGAGTCAATATTTCACAGACCAATTCTAATGGGCAGTATAACTTACCAGAGATTTATGAAAGGAGATATATGAGTGTCTTTTTTATTTATTCTGTTTTGCGTATTTGTTTCATGAAAATCTGTTTAATCGTCATGTGTCAGTAATTTCTTAAACAACCGTTTTCAGTTTGTCACGTCAGGTTGACTGATCTTGAATATACTACAGTCCTTCCTAGTCATTATTTATCCATGTCTCATTTATACTATATGGACATTCCTCTAGAGTATGTCGGATTCTTAACGTGTTCCATTTCAATTTACTTACTTACACCTGTTACTCCTTGTGAAGGAGCATAGGCCGCTTACCAGCATTTTCCATCCAACCCTGTCCTGGACAATCCTTTCCAGTTGTTATTCATCCTTTTCATATCTGATTCTATTTCCCGACGTAATGCTTTCACCATAAGGCGTCATAGTTCTTCTAAATGAATACGTTCTAACTCCTAGGGCACAGTTTAAATGGTTTGAATTATTTTTTCTGGTTAGCGTTTTTTTAGCGAGTTAGTTTTCTATGGGATGGGGTCGCTAACCCCACGCCCAATTCTCCTTTTTTACCCGGGCTTGGGACCGGCAGTAACTCTAGAAGAGCTACACGCGGAGTTATTTCAACTTGCCTTGATTTTATAAATTTCTCACGATATTTTATAATACTTTCCAATAAATAGGTAGTATACCATTGTTTGTATGGTTTATTTGGTAGATAAAGGATATCTGTCATATAACCTGGTATTACTAGTCTTTGGGCACGAGGCGTACACATATCATGTATGTCGAGCTTAAGATTGTCACCTCTTATTGTGTTTGGTTCAGATATCCCAAATCTACAGGTACTTTTTTCAACTCAATGTATGCTTGTAATTCTATATAATACTTAGTGACTGAGTTATCATAGTTTATTCTACGAGTCAATCAGACCAACGGCGTAGTTGTATATTTTCAATCACACTGCACAGCATCATATTAGTGTGTTAGTGTGTTTTATCTTTTCCCTTGACCGAGTGACCAATAATATCATTTTCTTAGATAATTCAAATACAGTTACTGATTTCATATACACTATTTTCTATATACACTAGATTGAATTACCTCCTGTTTAAAAAAAAACTATTAGACAGATGGAGTATACATACTTGTGTATCTTTCTAACAGCCTTGTTTACGTTTATCTTCAGTTGATTCTAATTTGTCTTAAACCGTTTTAATAACTATCATTTTCCAAATAAAATGTAGCACAGTTACTTCCCCTCTCATATCTTTGAATAAAACAATAGTAATGATGGATCCAGAATAATGTGAATTCATACTGTCATCGGATAATTATCATTTTTAACAGTCAAATAAAATATATTAAGATCGAGATTAAATGTTCTTCATGATTTGAAATTATATAAATGAATAATTATAGGGGCGAAAGACTAATAACAAGGTTAATCATTTGTTAAATGACAGTATGTATATTATAAACAAACGATAATTTTGTTTGAAGGTTCATGGTAATAATTCTGTAAAATGAGAAATTTGATTTTGGGATTTATATACCCATCATTGAAAAATTCAAACAGATGTCGAGAAATAAATCAGGAAAAACCACACTATATGAATAAAATATTTCAATTTTATTAAGTTCTCCAAACTGAATGGTTTAATTGCGATGGTACCATCGTCGTTCCGAACAGCATCATTGGCGCCTAATTCAGTTGGGAGTGAGTGTTATATAAGTTTATTCTGACCTCCTCGTGTGTCTATTAACAAGCTCATCCTCACGTAAAGTAAGCTCTATTGATTTCGTCCATAATGACAACGGAGGCTCCACAATCTAACTGCGAAACTCAGAAAACTCACCATACCAAAATCACTCACCTCAGCTGAGAATCTCCATTTCTGAAATTACTATACATTGCGAAAACATTTTAG